TACTCTCGCCAGCCTACTTTGAACAATTTGAGTGCATAAATTACAGTTTTCTTCCCCTTTTCTGTGACATCCAGTATACTCCACTTGAAGAGGATGAATGAAATGCATGTTTAAACTGTCTTGATATTTTTAATTACTTTCTAAGATGACTCATAACTGGAAGTGTTTGGAATGAGCTCAATAGCTCCAGATATTAACATTTTCAAGGACATGAAATGTCTGAAACAGGAGACACTAACAGTGTGTGTTTATTGCATTTTTTAAAATAAAGATGATCTATAGAAGAATGTTTGGAGAGAACCAAAAATGAGCTATGAATGCTGGTAGAGTTAAGGTTATAAAGTAAGAACACCCTTTCTTTGGTTCATGTTGGTGGTTAGGTTTACATTCATGATGACATAGTGAAATTCTGAAACTATTTTTAACTCACTTGAGCTTAAGTCTGAATCGGTGTATACCGGTTCCACTAGCTGTCTATCTGCCTGTGGCAGGCACGTCCTCAGACCAGCAACAAACAAACTTGGAGTAGCATTCAAAATTTACGTATAATGGTTTGGAATTCAATTTGTATCACAGTTAATTTTCTGCCTGGACACATATATCATTTCAACTTGTGAAATAGTTGCATTTTAACCTAGACATTATGATTGATTTATTAAATATGTGAAGATGCTACAATTAGGTAGAGATACAACTTAATTATTGTTTTCATCCTGGTAGACAAAATCGGTCATTATCAATTGACTCATGAGAGTTGGCAGTGCCCCTGCATCACCCAGAGGCTGAAGATTCAGTAAGGAAGGAGGGGATGGTAGAAGAGAGATGAAGACATGAAGGAGGCCCGAGAAGAAGGAAAGGAAGGAGTGGACCAGAGAAGAAGAAAGAAAGGAGAGTTTCCAAAACTCAAAGCAGATACCTTTATGGGAGATGATGGGATACAGGAACCCATCACACTTTTCACATACAAAGTCTTTTAAAAGACAAAACCGCCTACTCTAATCTACCTACCTCTCCCCTTTCTTCCTTCCTTCTCTCTCTCTTTTTCTCCCTTCCTTCCACTTTCTCCCTCCCTCCTTCCTTTCTGTAAGGATTCAAGCATTGTATTGGCCTGCCCCTGTCACCTGGCTGAATGCACTCAGGCAGTACTCTAGTCAGCCTAGGGTTCCATGAGTGCTAGTCTGCAGGCAGGGGTAAAGGACCCCTTTAAAAGACAGACCCCTGCCCACTTACCCACTTACGCTCTCTTTCTGGCTCCTCTCTCTCTCTCTCTCTCTCTCTCTCTCTCTCTCTCTCTCTCTCTCTCTCTTTTCTTCCCTTGCCCCTCACTCCCCTTTCTAAATAAACTTCTCAAGCTCTGTCTGCCTGGCTTGTTATCCCATCTACATGGTCACACTACTAGCCTGCTATGGAACCTGCTATGCTTGCCTGGTGGTCCCCCATATCGGACCCCCCTCCAGCTTTATCTTATCATTAAAAAAAAGAACAACACTCCCTTTTTTTTTCTCCCTTGAACTGGTGAACTCTTCAGTGGTACTAGTATGTGCATGGGAGCCACTTGTCTGAGCAATTTCAATTCAAGGCTGATATTGAAGGAACATTCGGATTCCCTTAGTTCTCACTCCATTTAGCATTTACTTAAAGGCCTGGGATAGGGAAAAAACAAGAGATCAGATGCAGAGGGAGAAGAAGGGATGATAGTGTGACCTGAGGGAAGAGGCCTGCGTAGGCGAGATGGAAACCTCACTTCAGACAGGAAGTAGGAGAGACTGCAGATCAGGGAACTGTCTCCTTGGGCGCTAGGCAGTCAGAGGAGGTCTGTAAGTAGTGACATCATCTAAGTAGTGCTGGGGTAGATTCAGAAAATACGTGCAGAATTTAGGGTAGGTGACAAGCAAGGGCTAAAAGATCTGTTTTAAGAGTGAAGCCATCAGCCAGGTAGTGGATGGATCACATGTTTAGTCCCAGCACTCAGAAGGCAGAAGTAGGCAGATCTTTGAGGTCAAGGCCAGCCTGGTCTACAGGGTGAGTTCCAGGACAGTCAGGGCTATACAGAGAAACCCTGTCTAGAAAACAAAGCAAAAATAAAGTACAGCTAACACTACTTATAAGCCCCAGCTTGAGGCAATGCTGGTAGAGAGGAGAGTTTGGCATCAGGAGGAAGGGGGAGATACCGAGCAAGTACTTGCGAAGATGAGGGTCTTTTAAAATCAAGCCTTGTGTGTGAGTTCGCTGCAGACATCACAGAAACGGCATTTTTGAAAAATGAAGATAACTTCAGAAGGGCTGGGATGATGGCTCGGCAGTTAAGAGCACTGATTGCTCTTCCACAGGACCCAGGTTCAAGTCCCAGCTCCCACATGGCAGCTCATGGCTGTCTGTAACTCATGTTCCAGGAGATCTTATACCCTCTTCTAGCCTCCATAGGCACTAGGCACACACAAGGTGCCTAAACATATATGTGAACAAAACACCCATGTGTGTAAAATAAATATAAAGTTTTAAAATAATGTATTGCTGGCTAGTTTTAATATCAGTTTGACACAAAATATAGTCATCTGAGTGGAGAGAGCCTCCACTGAGAAAAGGCCTCTCAGAGACTTGGTATGTATGCAGGCAAGCCTGTAGAGAATTTCCTTAACTCGTGATTGATTCAGAGAGGACCCAGCCTATTGTGTGTGGTGCTGTCCCTGAACTGCTGGGCTGGTATTCTATAAGACAGCAGACTCAACAAGCCATGAGAGCAAGCCAGTAATCAGCAGCCTCCATGGGCTCTGCATTCTTTCCTGCCTCCACGTTCCTGCCCTGTTTGAGTCCCCTTCTTGGCTTATGTCAAGTTTGTAATTCAGGATATGTAATCCAAATAATCCCCTTTTCCCCTAGTTTCTTTTAGTCCTGATGTTTCATCATAATAGTAGATAACCTATCTAAGAATGACTATATATGTATATATATTAATATATATGTACAGGCACATATATACATATATATGCACATACACACACATATATACACACATATATACATACATATATATCTGTACATACACATATATTCAAGACAGGGTTTTTTTTGTGTAGCCCAGGCTATCCCAGAACTTGCTCCATTGACCAAACTGGTCTTGAATTTAGAGATCTGTTTGCCTCTCAAGTGCTAGAATTAAAGGTGTGTGCCACCACCTTTGTTTTATTTGTTTATTTATCTCTTTGTTTTATTTGTTTATTTATTTGGGGACAGGGTTTCTCTTGTACCCTTGGCTGTCCTGGAACTCGCTCTATACACTAGGCAGGCCTTGAACTAAGAGATCCACCTACTTCTGCCTCCCATTGCTGGGAGTAAAGGTGTGTGGTGATACACAGCTGACAATGGATGTTTTAAACATGAATAAACTTATTTTTCAGTTTTAAATAATGAGAAAACATAAATCATATGTATATGGAATGACAGAAGCATCTGAGGAATTTTCGCTATATTAACCAAGAGTGACCACAAAGATAACCAAGCATCTCGGTCTGTGGCCTGGATTTGGATCCTTTGGAAGCTTCCTTACCTTGCTTATATGGAGTTCTGGATCCCGTCCCCCCACCCACACCCACATCCATGGAGAGCCATGGTGGAAACTGGTATGATTGCTTGAATATGTCTGGCAAAAGAATCCGAAATTTAATGTTGTTCTCAACTGGATAGCAAGTTCAAGTTCAAGGCCATCCTGACTCACATGAGATCTTGTCTCAAAAACAAAATGATAAGGGCAGAAAGATGGATGGCTCAGTAATGAAGCCCACATATTTATTTTTTCCAGAGGATCTGAGTTTGGCTCCCAGCTTACAACTCCCTTATAACTCCATCTCTGAGGAATCTTCTAGCCACTGGGGTATAAAAACACATGTAGAAGACATAGACAGACATACAAACATGCACATAAGTAATTACCCCCAAACAGCAACAACAATAACAAAACGTGGCATGAACAGCACTTGGGAGGCAAAAGCAGGAGAATCTCAAAGCTCTGAGTTTGAGGCCAGCCTGGTTTATACAGCAAATTCCAGGCCAGCCAGGGTTACATAGTGAGATCTCATCTAACAGATATATACTATATATGATTAAAAAAATACATAAATGTTTTCATTCAGATGGCTACATATATCAGAATTTTTTTGTCTTTAGTTTTTTTAGAATAAAGAACATAGAAAAAAAATTTTAAAATCACGTTTGAACTTGCTTTTTTTTTTTTTATCAAACAAAACAGAATCTAGATGGACTTGAACTGCCACTCACTGACTTATTTTGGTTAAGGTATTTCACCTGTCCCTGAACCTTGACTATAATTTTTTCTTATAATGTAATTGTGTGTGTGTGTGTGTGTGTGTGTGTGTGTGTGTGCGCACAGATATACACCTCCAGGCAACTAGAGAATAATAGATTCTCAGCAAATGCTGAAACTTCTTTTATTGTGAGCAAAATCTCTTAACAGACAGATCATTAGATAGACTTTTTTTTTTTTTTTTTCTGCCTGAAGTGTGTATTGATAAAGCCAGAGGTATGTTTGACATTCTAGGGTACCCAGTAACACAATATTTTTAATGAAAAGCAAAGGCTTTCTTGTGATGACCAGATGGCACTGTGATGTTTGATCGGGCTCCTTGGTTTTGCTGTGGTGAATATTGACGCCTTGCCCGAAGGGGTTAAGGAATGCCTTACTCGAGTTACATGAAGTAGCAGAAATTATCAGATGGAAACAGGAATGGGGAAGGGGAAAAGGCTCTATCCCAACCCATGGCTTCCAAATTCACTAGGCTTGTATTTACATCGGTTTGCTGTTGTTATTTTGGGGCCAGGGGCCACCACACAACACCCTGGCCCCCTTAACTGCTGCGCTAGCTGGGACTGCCATGTTTAAACAAAGCTGTGAGTCACACACAGCCTGCAGCTGCAGGGCCAGGAAGCCCTGCTGGAGAGGCCACGCCCCTCTCCCTGTGAATCGCTGGCCCGGGCAGGGGAGGGGCTGGCCCTTGCTAATGAGCAAGTTGCCAAGGCGAGACAGGAACTTCATTCCTTGCTGTGTCAGGGTCCCAGAAATTATGCCCCTTCTCTCATCATGAACTGGCTCTCGAGTTCCCCGGGAGTTGTGCTAACTGCTTATCACCCCAGCGGCAAGGACCAGGTCGTTGGGGAGAGCCATGCAAAGGGAGGCGACGAAGCCACCTCCAGGTAAGGAGACCAACAAACACCCCCTACCTGCCCCAGGAACAAAGTGACAGGGAAGTTGTCAGGAGGGAAGGGAATCAACTCTGCACTGGAAGCCTGACCGGGGCTGCAGCATAGACTATAGCTTGTTCTTTGCATCTCAGTCACCCCCCCCACATCCCACCCCCGTGTGCCAGAGCCCTTCGGATTACCAGGATGGGGGATGTGGTTCTGTAGCTCTCTACCAGTGGTTCAGCAGGTGCACAGGCAAATGCTGACTGATCAAATGACTGTATCGGAAACACTCTCTGTGAGATGGAATTCTTGAATGGGCTCAAAACTCCGCTGGAACTGTTAGCTGGGAAAGTCTGCCAAAAAGCAGGGAGGCTGGTCACTTTGCTAGCTGTTTTGAGAGTGGCACCCTCCGCCCCGCGCTAAAAGCAGACCTCTTAGGCAAAATGCCCAAGATACTGGCTGGTGGCAGTGTTGTTCATGTGCTTTAGCGTTCGTAGATTACTCCCACAGCCCGACACACCCCTACAAATGGGATTTTAAAAGGGAGTTTTTGTCAGCAGGCAACACTTTGCTACAGGGAGCATGGTTAATGTTAAATCACTTTATAGGCAGAGAGGGCAAATGTTCTATAGACCATGGAGACGCAAAGAGTCATCCTCTCTGTACTTTGTTCTGTTTTTCGAGGTTGGTCGCCCCCCCCCCCCTTTCTCTCCTAAATGACCTTCTCCCTAGGTGAACTTTTAATCTGCAGTCTTAGATATACATTGCAAATATTGGCCTGGAAGATTGCCAAGCAACAACAAAAAATTAGTTGTCAGTAAATCTAATTCCATCTTGATGCTAAAAGTGATAATGAAAACTTCATTGTTCTTGCGTGACTTAACTCCCTGGGACTTACACTAAAAGAATACCTCCTTTCATTGGTTTTTTCAAATCCCCAAACATAGGGACGTGGGAAAATCATAGGGAAGGCTGGAATATTCTGGGTTAGATCCTGGCTGAAGAACTTTGCTTCTCACATGTTGCCCATTGTATCGAGGCCATTGAATGAACTCCATTCCAAAGCTGAATGGGAGCCGGTGCCTTTGTGCACCATGTGCTACCATTTTCCTTCCTATTGCCCTTGAGGATTATCTGCCATTTTCCACCCTTGCTTCTGCACAACCAGCAAAACAGTTACCTTCTAGCAGCAAGTAGCCAGTCACGTCAAAACCCTAGCTGTTCTGCTTTGGCTCCCACATGGCAGTCCAAGTAGCCAGAACCCTGCAAGCTTGCAGGGTCTTAGGTGTCATTGGCCTCGGGCTGGGTGGGCCTGAGGACTGGAGCTGAGTCTTGGGTCTTGATTGTGGGTGTGAATGAAACCCCTGGGTTTGATGTCCAAACCTCTCATCCCATTGTTCTGACTCCAACACCAGCAATTCCTTCAGCTCTAGCAGTTTGTTGCTCTAACGCTTTTTGCACAAGCCTGCATGCTTTCCTGGACTCTCTTTCCTGTTGTCCAAAGTTTTGTAGCTTGTTACGGGTACTGTAGACGTGAGTGGCTTGAACAAACAAGGAGGAGGGGATTGTTTTTCAGCTATTGTGGAAACAGAACCAGAGTGTGCAGAGGAGCAGTGTGGACCATTGCCCAGCAGGATGTGCTTGTATGAGGACCGCATCTCTAGGGTGACTCCAAGCGGCCTTTCTGCTGGCTGCTATACGGTTTACCCCACCCTGAACTAGGATTTGGCTTTCATGGGGGGTAGTTACTGATGTTGGGAGGAGAATATGGAAAACTGGTGTGAGGCAGGAAGCAGGGAGAAAAGGGTCATTCCTCATTAATTTTTACCCTTAAGCTTAGGGTAATTTTCTTGGTTTTTATTGTTTATTTTGTTTTTTGAGACAAGGTTTCTCTATGTAACAGTCCTGGCTGTCCTGGAACTCAATTGTAGCTAGCTTTAAACTCTCTGAGATCCTCCTGCCTCTACTGCCCAAGTGTGCTACCACTGCCTGGCTAGTTTAGGGTAATTTATCAGCAAAGTACATATCTTTGGGAGGTACCTTGTTTAGCTTTGAATGGTTTAAGCTATTAGAATTGGCATGGAATAAAGGTTGGTGGAAGGAAGGGGGATTTTTGGGGTGGAAGACTATTGATCAGTAGTGACCACCCAAGGATGGTGATAATAGTTAGGGGTGAATAGGATGTTGGCTATGGATGGGTCAGCTGGCTGGTAGTTTCAGAATTAGGAAGGTGCTGTAAGGTTTCAGTGATGGTTGATGCCTATTTTGTAAATAAAGCCAAAGTAAAACTCATAAAGAGGGTAAATTCGATCTCACACGTCCTCCGATCTATGTAAAAGTAGCTGGGGGTAACTCAAATTTCTTGACCTTTCTTATCAAAAGACTCCATTTAGTCTAAATAATATGTATGTTGATGAACTATTTTTAGTTAAAAAAAATACAAAGGGTTATGTTTCTTGACTGCCCCTCTGGTCATGAAAACGAAGGATGGCAGGAATTTAACATCCGTGTAAGTAGTCTGATATTCTCAAATTCCTCATATTTCATTATCTCTGTTTATCAGATCCCATTTAGAAGACTTTCTCCTACTCCTGGTTGGGGCTCCCAATTATAGAATCTGTGTGTGTGTGTGTGTGTGTGTGTGTGTGTGTGTTGTTGTTGTTGTTGTTTGAGGTAGGATTTCTTTCTCTTTGTGTCCCTGGCTCTCCTGGAACTCTGAGATCTCACTGCCTCTGCTTCCCTAGTGCTGGGATTAAAGGCGTGTACCACCATGCTCCGCTAGAATCCTGTTTTCATATTTTCTTTTTTGTAATTTCTTTTCCCTCAAACTACCAGGACTTGAAAGAACATGTTAACATTAGTTTTCTGGCTGACTTTATACAAATGTTTCCAAAGGAAACTACTTTTTATGACTGGCTATATTTACAAGACTTTATTTACTTACTTGTTTTCCAGGCAGGTCTCTCAGTATTTGTTTTAGGAAAAGCAATTTTTCAACAAAACTGTATTACTATTTTCATGACTTTAGCATCCTTTTAAGGGGGAAACAAAATCCTGCTATGATTACTTTATATGTATTTGGTTTGTTCTTTTAATATTAATGTCAAATGATATTTTCTGTCTTATTGGAAACTCTTTCCTCCCAAAAAACTGATAGTTTGAAATAGGTTGAAGACTGAGTCTCTCTTGGGGACCAACATGGCTGGATTCACACACACTGCCTGACTCTCCTAGTGGTTAACCGTGTGCACTGCCAAGAGTTCAGTAAGTCTCTGCTATAAGTTGGATGTCACAATAGTCCTCCCCTTGCTGGGACAATGAAGTTAGATAATCCATGGGGCAGTGTTTGGCTCAAAGCCAGTCTGCTACTTTCCTTAATACTCTGTGCCATGTAGAATATTCTTCCTCAGTTTAACACCTGGCTTGGGGGGGGGTCTCATTTTGTCATGGGTTAAGATAGATGCATGACCATAAGGCTTAGCTGAGAATGATGTTGGAAGCTACGCATGGTGGTACATATCTACAATCCTGGCATTGGGGAGTGAAGGAGGATCAGGAATTCAAGCTAACCTTGGCTTTCTAGAACATTCAAGGTCAACCTGGGTCATATGATGCCACATCTCAAACAAAGTATCCACCATCACAACAACCAATAAATAAAATGACTTATGGGAAACTGGGTGTGGTTAGTGTGTTCCTATGATTTCAGCATACAAGAACAACCAGGGGGATGAGGATTTCAAAGCCATCTTCAGCTACGTAGCAAGTTTGAGTCTACTCTATAAGACCCCTTCTCTCACTCACTCCCCATTCCAGGTAAAGACAGTGGGAAAGGTAGAACAGTACAAATCTTTTAGTCTTTGGAATTCTGAAAGTCCTCGGAAATGTGTTTTGTTCCACAGCAATTTCGAGTTGGCTGGAGACAGCGGCACATGGAAGTTAGGCACAGAAGTCCATATAAACATGGATGGAATGTGGCTGGGGCCTTTTTGGCAACTAGTCTCTCTCCTGTCTTCATACCTCCCTCCTCCACTTTGAGGAACTGTGCCCAGCTGCATGCTATGCAGAAAGCACTGACTCTTTTATATCTGTATTTCAACTGTAAACATGTTCATCTTATCAGTTCCTTGTTCTATAAGCCTAGCCAGCCTGTCACTCAGTTACTCCAAATACAATCTCCATTTGTCACTGAGAATCAGATGAATTGTCCCTTTGCTAGTGTTTCATGAAGAAGGTGACCCTGTCAGTCAGTCCCTTTTTCTCACTGTGACCAGGACCTGAGAAAGCCTGAGTAATGTCTTTGACTCCCAGTTAGAGGCTTCAGCCTATGAGCCCAATGGATTTCTTGAATCAAGAGTAGGCAGCATGGCAGAAGGAGAGGGTGGTGGAGGAGGCAACCAGGAAGCAGCAAGCATATAGGAGATAACAGCTGACAAAGACAGCCCAAGTGGCCTATTTCTTCCTACTTGGCCTCACTTCTAGAAGTACTTTATCACCTCCCCAAATAGTGCCACCAGCTGGGACCAGGATTTCAACACATGAGCCCATGGAAGACATTTCATATTGAAAATTTATCAAAAAGCATGTGTTGGGGGTAGAGAGAGGTACCCGGATGTCGACAACCCTGAGCTGCTGATGGTCAAGTTTAGCAGGTATCTGAGAGCAAGGGCTGTTAAGGCAGAGAGGTCAAGACGCATAAGAGTCATAAGCCTAGAGGAAGCCCTGTAGCAGATGACCAGCAGCAAACAGCCCCGCATGGCTAGAGGGCTTCGGAGAGCAGGAAGTTCTGGAGAGGATGATGGTTGTGTAGAACATTTGGGTTTTTTGGTTATACTTAAGAAAAAGATGGGGCAACATGGAGGGGAGAGGGTTTTGAGCAGAGGAAGAACACAGGGGAGAATTCAGTTTTAAAAGGTCCCTCTGGAATAGAGGGTTGATGATAAACTGTAGAAAGTGCAGCCACATGTAGGAGGTGAAGGTGACAGTGGCCTGGGCCAAGATCTTAGTCA